CTGAGGTGATGTCCCAGATCTCTTTATGCTCCTGTTAACACCACCATATAAAGAACAGCTGCTATTAACAAAAGTGTTTGAGAAATTTTAAATGCACAGAACAAAGAAAACATGTATTTGCCCTCTATCCCACAATAATTACTTGCATGTTGAGAATATAAGTGCACAAAATTTGACAGGTAGATCATTTTATCTGAGGTTGATGAGACACAGATAAGTATACCAAGTAAAACAAAACATTATTTTCCAAAACTGTCAGGAAGGCTCTTTCTCCTGATGGAGTCAGCATGTATGTTTACTAGGGACAAAACATTTGGAATTATTTTAGTCAGCAGTTTTAGAAGCTAATGTCACACTTGGTGATATAGAAGATGTTCAAGCAGATCTCATTGTTGGATCCTAATCATCCTCATATTGTCTTTTTTCATGCAGAATACACTATTTTGAATGTTTTCTAAGGTTTTGGTTGAGACAAGAAGAGCCCCACAGTGTGCTTTGGAAGGGACAGGAATAATACAAGTTTTTAAAAATACATTATGAAGACTATGAAATCTAACTCTCATTGTGATTCATGAATTTATTGTTAACAACTCAAAGTCAATTTTAGTAATTACAATCTAGTGTATTTCCCCAATTTTCTTTTCATTCTTAATCTTAACATATTGATTCTTCCTCTATTTACAGGTTTTCAGTTACAGTGTGCATATCTTTGAATCTCATTGCACAGTGTATGTAATCGGAAATTCAACCCTCTGTTATTGTGCTTTGAGTAAATCACTGAGTAAATCACAGTGCTTCAGAAAAAACTTTTATACAAATATCTATATATTCTGAAATCCTCATCGTCAATGAAAACAAAAATGGTTGCTTTTTAAAAAAATCACCAGGTTGCATGAAAAAGTTCCCCTTGTCTTTTTGCATAAATGCAGCTTGTACGACAGTGTGGCCTGTGGTTTGACAAATATACAGGTATATAACACTGCCAGTCTTTCATTCGTTAAACCAGTAAACTCAAGCTGCAGAGCCCAGCAGGACAGTCACTTGCTCAAGCTCTGATTCTGGGACTGTACTGACACAGCAGAAAGAATGTCTGTTCACTGCAGTATTCTGAAGTGAGGCATTTGGCATTCTTTCAGAGCCTGATGGAATCAGACTAGGTTCTGTTGGTAACAGTGTGAACTGTGTTTGCCAGTAGACAGTATGTATACATTTCTGGTCCGAGATCATAAAACTCAAGACATAGAAAACAGGAAGTGCATGAAGCTGACTGCATAAGACTTTCCAATATCAAACTGACAGGACCTATTGATTAATGTAGTAATGTAAAATGTGCAGGGGTGACTGAACAATGGGGCTGTCAGCCTGATACTGATAGATGGGTTACAAGGCATTTCTCTGTATGTTTTCATTTCATTCTCCATTTAATATTTCTCCAATACCATCAACAGCTGTCAATGTTTGGACTGTATAGCTGACTCTCATCAGAACTTGAATTGCCTTTGTTGAAAGATTTCCCAAGCACCATACCCAGTCTAAACAAAAAATTATATATTCGTTTTAAATATATATATATAATATATATATATGTAATGTGCAAATTAAAAAATAATTACAATTCTTTCTTTGTTTTTTATTTTATACATTGGAGAATTAGGAATAACACCAAAACTCAAATAGTGTAAATCTTATAATTATACCAACCTATTAGATAAATATTAAATATCTTTATGGGTTAAATGGGAAAAGTATGTACTGGGGGCACATTTAGATTCTCACATCCAGCCTATTAAGCTGCTGCTGCACAGAAATGATAAATGGGGCATTTTGTGAAGGCATTTAATCTATTAGCTATGCTCATATAATTGGCATTTTTAGCAGTTCTGTTTCATTAAATATTTGGTATTCATCAAAACGTGGGAAGAATAATGGCACTAACAGGTACCAGGTTTGACTCTGGGTAACTAGAAGATTATAACCAGGACTTTCTGTGCAATTGCACAGAATATTGGCTGAGTATCCATTTTACCCATGATAAAGGTAGAAATTAGTCAGCCAGGTTTCTTTTGCTCGCAGTGAAACAGTGACAGTGTAGTTGGGTGGTTTCTGATATGAATAGGATCACATGGTGAAAAATGATCTTTTTAAGAATAAAGTTAAATTCATTTGAGGATCAAAGTCCAGATTTTACATTGTATGGAAATGTTCTCTTTTGGAAACAAAATGCACCTTGTAAAGGAAGTGCAAAGGCAGCAGCCCTCTGTTTTCAGAAGAAATGTTTTGGAAGACTTCACTGCCAAAACAATAAGTATTAGATCTCTTGACAATTGACAATCGTAAAAAATAATTATTTGTGATACAGGTAGGTAGAGAGACTGCAGTACATAAATAAATGCAGCTTTGCAAAAGATGGACATAAGAAATGTTAAAATCAAATGAAGAGGTTACAAATAAGAGGCCATTTGCCTCATGTAGTCCATTTGATAAGAGCTAATTGATGTGAGGATTTCAAAAACACAAGAGTTCATTAGACTAGCGATACATACTGTATACACACTTATTTTTGTTATAGGTGTGAATTACTCCCACTAATACAAGCTCCAAATGTGTTGAACCTTTTATTTTTCACTCCCCTCAGCTGTTGTTGTCTTAATCTTAACATAAATTGTAAAGAATATTATACTAGAAATGTGTAGAATAATATTTAGAAAGTATAATTTGAAAAAAAATATTCACAAATGTTAACATTTTATACTTAATATCACCAGCTAGCTTGATTCTCTATCTTACTTTACAGGAATGGGTTTATTCTGTCAATGACTGCACAATATTTATTAACTTACATAATAAAGAGTTTTTGTTTAGTATGACATTTTGTTAGATTTTCACCTACAAGCAGAAATATTGGAACCAGTTGTGCTCAGATAGCTACAGTTTATATAGATATCATATCCATATCTATGGATATTTTATTAGCCCTCATTTTAGTAATTCCTTTCTTACTCATTCTTGGACTTTCTAATATCCCTTTTTACCTATGCTTGCAGTTCATTGTATTCATTTTCTTTAACTGGATCCTGTTAATTTTTTACTTTTTAGAAAGTGCATTTGATTCTCTTATATTTTCGTAATATATTTGTCAAATGATTTGAGAAATTGTTTTGCTGCTTTTTATCTTTTTATTTACTCCCACTTGGAAAAAAATATATTTTCAACTGATTTCATGTCTATCCTTTCCCATTCCACTTCTTTAAAGCGCTCTTATTCCTTCAAGGTATGCTTTCCTGAGATTGTAAGCTTGTTTTACAATTTGTTTTACAATTTTACAATTTGGACTCAACTAATATAGTAAAATACATATGAAATATATATTTGATATATATAATATATATTTAAAATATATATGATATGTGTAAATTACATATGGAAAATTACTGCTGTTTTCTTTTTTCCCTGAGGGCTCAAGTTTGTAGACCCTCACGTGGGTTTATCCAGTTTGCATAGTGTGCCTGAAGGTGGCAAGTTGAGACTAGGCTCTCCAGGCTGTCAAAACTGCTAAAATGCCCTCAGCCTAGAAAGCACATTTGCATTGGATTATGCCTTTGTTTTTTTTCTGGTTTATTCAGTGCAGTTTGGGTAAAACACTGCAAGGTTTCGTACACTCCACCAACATTGGTGTAAATTGGAAAAAAAAATCGTTACAAATGTTTTGCCAAAACAAGAAAGGGCAACGCAAACGTTGGACAAAGACTGTGATTTATGTCTCATTTCGTAGGACAATAGCTGTCAAAAGAGCTTTATCAGTCATCTAAAACTCAGTTCTGCGTCAGTAGCGTTTTTTTCCATTGCTCGTTCGCCGGCATCTTGTGTATTTGGAATTAACTCCTCATAGACCACAACACGCTAATATAGTTGTAGGAAATCAAAACTAATTTGTAAATGCTTGACTCCCAGAAGACGAGATTTAAGGTCCGTTTGTTAGGTCAGTCTTGTGGATTTCCGATGTGTACTGTTTGAAGTAGGAACTTTTGTCTTTTGGCTGTAATGTGCATTTTAATTCACAGAAATGAACTCCAACCTTTATATACTCAGTGTTCAGGGACCTAAAACCAACTAAACCAAGGCCAGCTTGGAATAGCAGAGACCAATAAACAACAGATGTTACAGACAGGAAACAAGGAGAGCTATGCTTTTTTTAAGAACACCAAAACCTAATATATAAAGCCAATGAGCACCCCCTCCCCTCATGCCTGCCATGTGTGGAAGATTTTCAGTCACACTGATGTTACTGGTAAAAAGATTTTGCTTGAAGATTGTCTTCACAGACTGCATGCTTGCAATCTAATAAAATTGTAGTCTTGACCTGTAGTTAATTTTCTTTCCACTTCAGTTTGTGGTATGGCTTTCTTAGAAAATTTGAATTAAAGGAACATCTACAGTATAGTTTATGTATTGTTTTTGCTGTGCTCAGACCTTCATAATGTGTTTAATTGTTACATTTCATGATTTAATTAAAATGTATATATTTCTCATTGAATGGCTCAGAATTTTTTTTTTTATGTAGAAGTTAATTTAAAGCATTAGTACCATTAGGTTAATCAATGGAAAGATCTGTGATATGTTTTTAGTAAATCCCCAAAAAATCATTACAGATGTATTTTGTATGATTATTATTGTGAATCATATGGAAAGCAGTGAATTTTGAAAACTAGAGCAAAATGTTACAAGAGCACTGGTGAAATCATTTGAGGTTTTTCCTCTAACCAGGGTTACACTCCCATGACATTTTCAAAGTCACATTTGTCTTATTTTATTGAAAGTGCTGTATTCAGTGTCAGGTCCTTTCTGACAGTTTCCCTGGTCTAACCAGAGCTGAAAATGAGGAAGCTGAGACAGCATTTGCACGCTTAGTCTACATGAGTTTGCTCTGCTAGTGGTACTTATTACTTTACAGGCAAGGCTGCTCCAGATAAAATACTGATCCTTTAATGCTGTTTCCACAGTAATTGACAGATCTCAGAGGCAGAAGCTGGAAGCTGTGAGTTATTCCTCTCGCTACGCTCTGGGACTCTTCTACAAAGCTGACAAGCAGATTGATGTCCCCTGGGCAGCAAAGTACATCACCAATAATCCCTGCATACGCTTCATCTCCATCGATAATAAAAAGCGCAATTTAGGTCAGTGCTCCCATTATTTCTCTTAAACAGTGTAACAATAGAGGGTGTACATCCCCAAAAATGCTGTTTAATTGAGTGTTGCTGTTTTGAAAGTAACAAGTATTTAGCTTCAAATCACAAGGGATCAAAATTAGAATGTGAAGATTTGGCATCTAAAAAATTACACAATGGAACTGTTAAAGTTTCCTGTCATTTACACCTTGATGTTTTAAGAGAAGGCTGTATGAGGGTGTTGAGTATAAGCAAGAGGCGGTGTTCATTTTGTTGCACCGACAGATGAAGCACTCACAGACCTATTATGCATATGACACATTAGGTAAAGACATGCTAAATGCCCTTAAAACAAGACTACAGTCATATGGTTGAAACTTGCTTCTGCTTTGTGTTAGGTAGAAGGCTTCAGCCTTAACTGGGCATATTTTCTTCTGCTATTAATTAAAATATCTTGGTTTGCCCCCTGAAAGAGATGCTCTGACTGTTAATCTTACATTTACTACATTTTGAGTGGAATTAATAAAGCTCTTTTAATGTCAGGGAGATTCTCATGCATGAAACTATGATACTCTTTATGTCCAAATAATGTAATTGTGCATCTGAATATTTTTTAGGGGTAATATCCTCAAAATTTTATAATGTTGGAATTGGTTAACTTCAGACTACATATGATTCTGTTTACAAAGAGGCAGGACATTTAAACCACTGTAAAGATTATTTGAAAATCATTTTAAATTAAAAAAGAATCATTAATTTTGTCTGCTTCTATATCCTGATAAGATATGCACCCAACTTCAAATCAGCATGTATTAACTCTTTCGTTCTGATGTGGTTATGAGAAAGCTGAAGAGAAACACATACATCCCTCTGTGCTGTGAACTATTTTGGACACAGTATAATTAAAATGCAGAAATGGCAACAGAAAACAGTCCCAGTGCCACTGCCCAGTCTCAGAGAGAGTTAGTCACCTACAAGAGTCACTTTTGTGTACTGAATCAAATACTGCTAGAAAATATCGGTCACTGCCAAAATGACAGCATTAACAGTGAAGGGAGGATTTTGTTATGTTTAGTTGCATGATTAGAATTTCTATTTAACTCTTCTAAGCATCCAAATCTTTATCTGTGTATAAACCATGTTTTCTGTGGTAGAAAAAAAACTGCTATTATTCAATGTTTTTTTTCAGTATTGTTTGAGCTTTGTATGCTCCTTGTTAAAACAAACAATGTTTTAACCACAGTCATTTTTAATTTTTTTGTAACTTTTTTTTTTTGCTTTTCTGGCATCTCCAAATGGAAGTAGAGCGAGTAGGCAGAAAGCCAAATTGTCACCCATGTGAAGTCGCCCACTCATTTCTGGGTACATGCCAAAGCACGGTGGCATCTTGACCCTGGTCTGCAGACAGTGGAATTGTGCTTATTTTGTTCATAAAGGGATTGACCACTTCTAACCGATGAACATAAATCTCAAAGCTGAAGATATATTTTTTTTATCTTACCAAAAAGCTTAAACTCTAATACCTACTTATTCTACTGCTCCAAAACAGGATGTATTTGTACCATTAGCATAGTGATTGATCTTCCGTCATTTGGGTATGAAATTAGTTTAACTTTAATTGTTTTCTGTTCTTTTAAAATGCATTTCTTCAAGTGAATTTGAATAATAACATTATAAGTATCTTAATAAATATAAACCCTATCAGATCACAGATCACTTAATCAAAAATGTTCTGCTTTTGCACATTAATGATACATAATGAAGGCTGTAGATTTCAATTTTGACCTGCAAGTATTATCTGAAATAACATCATACATTATTTCAGATAATCTTGCAGGTCAAAATTGAAAATCGAGGCCAATTAGCTCTAGAATAGGATGTGGTTGAACTTTATAGAAAAAAATAAGGAATGTACTTAATCCTTACTTCTACTGACTCTCAATGCACAATAAAGGGCAGGAATGTTTAAGGTATACTTTTTAACAGATAAAAACAACACTAAGATACTCCCAACATTTTATTAACAATAAACTGCTTATGTTACAGATATAAAAATGTTACTGTTCTCACTCTTTATCGATGCATTGTAAAGGAAAATAATTTACCTTAATATTCATAATGTGTGTCCTGTGAAATGGCTTTGTCGGGAGCATTCATGGTTTTCCAATTAATTGACCTGCAAACATTTTAAATTACTGTTGAATAGAGCACAGGTTCTCAGTCCTGGTCCTGGGCACCAACACACCTGCTGGGGCTTGCATCCTAGCTAAGTGCTGTACTTAACTATACCCTTAATTGAACAATCAAGTTGCATGATTGGAAAGTTTGGCATTTTAATTTGTATATCAAATGCTGTATTTGAACTATATTTAGTTCGGGTTGCCTACAATATTTTTTCTAACTGAAAGCAGTTCAGATTAATCCAATTATCAGGTCAGCTCCAGGTTCCATTTATGTGCAGTAACTGAGAGTTCAGGAGGAATGAAACTCAACAAGGACCAGGGCTGGGAACTCACAAACTAAGTGTCCATAGCTCTGCCTATACTCATATTTTCATAGTATCAAAAAGATTACATGTGAGAATTAAATCATTTTTTGGCAAATGTTTACACACAAAAAAGCTGGTGTATTCGTTCCTGGTTTGTATTTTGCATGGTTTATAATGAGAGCATTCTGAGTAAGTGATGTTTTTAAGTATGGCATGCCTCTTTCGTAGTGTGTAAGTGTGAGATTATCTTGTTATTTTTTATTTGTCCCTTTTGTTTATCGATCCCTCTCTTCCAGTGCTTTGGTTTAATTTCTGAGTAAGCCGTTGGATGTTTTTATAAATTTGTGGAACAAATAATTTTTCTCTGAAGTAAACATTTTACATTTAAATGTTGTTTACCAGAAGAGGAATGGTGGTTTTTTTCTTCACTTTTTTTTTACGCAGTCTGGATTTAATCTCCACATTATTATTAATTCCTTTAACTTGCATTATTATTGTATGATAATGTCTAATACTCCCTGTGACTCCGAGGGACATATGTGTCTTGGTAAAATGTTCTGTTTGCTTCTCCTACAGAGTTGCCAGGCTGTGGGCCTTCTATGGTTGTCCACACCAGTGTGCCCTTTGGAATGCAGCATTTGGAGAAGACAGTGGAAGAGGTGGAGCCTCTTATTCTTAAAGAGTTGCAAGAGGTTTTGCCAGGACTGCCTGAGCCTCTAACCACTAAATGCCAGAAATGGAGATATTCACAGGTAAATAACAGTCCAGTCATGGAATATTGTGTTTGGAAAGTTCCTGCTGGAGTCAAACAGCAAAGGTCAATACAACTCTTAAACTTCTTTAAGCAGATCTTTGATAACGATGAGCAATGTTACCTGTTTTGTTTGTTTTTTTGCATGGAAAATATAAATTCTGGGTAGGTTTAAACTCAGCCACAAATATCAATTTTATCATCACAAAGCAATTTTTTTTACATCTTCCACGGTTAAGACTTACAACCTGAGAAGTCCAGACTATGTATCAGACTTCTTGTTTGATTTGTTATTGATAAGACAACTCTTTACCTCCATTAACAAGCAGTACAACATTTCTATACAGAGTGGCAGTAACATCCTAAGAGAATTTTGCTCTAAATGCAGCGGTAAATTACTGAACATTTCAGTTATACTACTCTGTAATCAGATGCTGTATTACAGTATATTTTCCATAATTTAAAACAGTAATATTAAAATATGTATAAATATATTTGAAATTTAGACTCGTTGTTATGATGACAAATGCTGGGCAAAAAAAGTAAATGTACTCAGCTGATTGGTGGGAAAAGATTTGGCTACTGTGTGTAGCACATAAGATAAGAAATCTTGCAGTGATGCAGTGCTGAAATAGTAGATCCATGTGCTGTGGCATTAATTTTTGTCCCTCATTCCACTGAACTCCCAGTGACTTCAAGTCCCTGCTGACTCCTTGACAAGAGAGCACTGATACAAGTTTCCGGTCTAAGAACAGCCTTTCTCAGGAGCCCTCTTTCTTGGGAGTGCTGGGACTCAAATTAAAAGTCTGACAAGCAGGGCAAAGTTCCCACCTCTCTCTTTCTCTGTCCCTCAGTCCCAAACAGCTGGAACAGTCATACACAGACAACAGCAGACCTGGCAATTCTCTTAGGCTGTTACTACCTCTCTGTATTGAAATGTGTACTGCTCTTCAACAGAGTTATATAGCATGTCGTACATCTGTATATAACAGAATTGATCCACATCGAGAAGAGACTGGCTTATGTTATGAGTGATCATGGAGCAGTAATGAGTATTCAAATATGGTGACTGTTTTTTCCTTTTAAGCATCACAGGTGACAGCTGAAAGAAATAACTCATCATAATATAATCTATTTTTTCTAAGTTCTGATCAAAGAAGTTCTTTCTATATTGATGTGTTATGTGTATAATGAAAGGAATTTTAGAAAAGTAAGGCATGTATCAATAATTCAATATCAGATTGATAAGGCAAGGGCCTTAACTGAGCAATGTTGTGCAGGCGGAAGAAAGACACCCTAGAGAAGTTGCTAATGTAACGTCAGATGGCACCAAACAGTGAGACAGTACACAGTGTTTCTAACTTCTATCAAGGATTTTACATCTGTACTGTTGGCAAAAACACTAAAGTCACCACTTTAACAAAGCTGATGTTGCAATACTCTAGCTCAAGGAAGTTCTTTTTTTTATTAAAACATTAAGTTCACAGACCACAACAGTATCTTATTTGGTCTGCAGGTAAACTTCAATGTCATCAATATAGCCACAAAACCCAAACACTCTTCTAATCTCACTAAGAGGCAATATGTGAATGTTATAGTAACAGTAAAGATCCCAGCACAGACTCTCGACGAACACCCAGACAAAGAAGAGCAAAATCAGATTTAAAACAGATGAGATTTACTGTATGTTAGTTCCTGTTAACTAAGTGGGAGCCAAACCAACAGAAAATGCCCCATGATCCCTAGATTGTTTTTCAAAAATACGTAGGCAGATTGTGAATGACAGTTTTATCAAGAGGGCTCCAGAGCTTAAACATGCCCTTTTAGTACACACAAAATATAGTAAAACAGCTTAATTTAAGAAACCCTTTCCAAGCTCACAACAGTTCAGAAATGCTCTTATAAACTATTTCTAAGTAACAGCAGCTTGCTTTTCAGCAGTGTTATGACATTACTGCATGATAAAAGACCAGTCATACGCTCTTGGCCATAAATATCTTGTTTTTCAGTGCTTCATAGAAACACACAGAAATCAATGTTAGTAAATTCTCATGCTTGATAATGGAACTACAAATTTACAGCTTGCATAAATGTGTTCACTCTTGTAATCTGCTGAAATCCACACAAGGCTATGTCATTAGAATCAGCAACATAAGAGGAAGCCATCTGCAGATCCTTCTTACATACTGTATTTAGCAGCTGTTGGGGAAAAAAAACTAAACTTTTGTTCATAGCAGAGGCTGTTATTTCTGTGATATTTTGCCTACATGTAAGTTACTTTTACACATACCTTTTAAATGCACTGTTTCAAAGCATCAGAGACCAAAGTATTCTGCTAATTTAAGTGCAAATCGGCCCTCATCGATTAAAACATCTAATAAACAGCTGAGATTCTGAGGTAAAATGGTTGGTAAAGACCTGTGATGTCAAAGATTGTCATGGAACACTTTGCAGTTATCACTCTTTCACAATGACATGAGGCTGTAGTTATATAATAGAATTGGAGAAAAAGTAAGACTGACTTCCAAGTGAGTATCATCTGATATTTTTGCACCAGTTTTGTCATATTTCTGAAAATCCAGAAAAGTAGAGTTATTGTACATTTTACTGTTCACTTTAATCATTTTATTGTATACTTTAGTTATTTTTTCTTTGGGTTTAGTACTTTTCCTAAGATTATATTCATTTTATTATTTGACAGCCCTCTTTAAACCATGCATGTTTTTCAATAACAAGAGGATGCTTAAAACCACAAATGTATTGGGGACAGAATTTAGAATTATGTCCCTTTAATATCAACAAACCACTGCTGCAATCCAAACAATTTGTACTTGGCCTGATTTCAGTAAGTAGGTTTATCAATTGATTTACATGGAGCTTGCCATTTAAAGATAAAAAAAGAAGTTCAGGGAAATAATGATAACAGATAGTCTTTAACTATGCCTATTAAAAGCCCCAGGAAATGGATACTATTTCCTTACACTACTGAAATGTACCTTGATGTTTATCTTAAACCTCTTAAGCCAGCTAATACTGTTGAAATGGAGCATGCACATACATGGAATGTGTTTACTTAAAGAACTCATTACAGCCTTAAACTTGCTGCTTCAGGATTTAAACATCACTGTAAACTGTTGGCTGCAAGTCTTATTTAATATCAGAATGGCAAGGGCCCAAGTCATGCAATTTGCACATTTTATATTGGACATCGAATGAGCAATAGGCTAACCAAATCACTCTAGTCCAATTAAAGATATTAGAACTACCACAAAGGTATGGATTTCACGATTGTGAATATAGTACTGGTGATATATAAATACCATATAAATACCATACACAATGTGGTGACAAATGAGTCACAAAAAACAGCACACATTATAGCATTTGGTGCCAAACATACTAATCAGTTAAACAGTATGTACTCAAAGGGCAATATAACATCTAAGTTGAAATCATTAAAGTTAGTACAGCAGAATGTATGTGTAACTTTAGCACTCATAATTCTAATTTATATTGAAGTAGCACAACTGAGTTTAGCTGCACATGAAAATCTTTTCTTTTTTTTTTAAAACACACATCTCAATCAAATCAGGCCTAAACATCAAGGATCTTAGGGAGTGTTTTTTATCCTGCATTTAAATCACAGTCTGTTAAAATAAGAGTAATCATTGATGCTTATGAATGTGACAGCCTCCTTTAATAAGTGTCCTAAATACCTTTAAAATGCTGAGCAAAATAGGTGCCATTGTTATCTTAGAGAATGTAATGGAGAAGCCAAAAAATCTAAAAGGAAGTTACACGGGGAGCAAAGACAAAAGGAGAACCAAAGAGGGAAAACAAAGGACCAGGTAATTAAGTACTTTTAGCTAAATGCCAGGAGTATTAGAAACAAAACACATGATACAGAAACTACCACATTACCAGGCAATAATGAAGTTATTACAATTACAGAAACTTAGCTAACCAAAATTGATGGAGATAACATTACATTAGTGAATAAATGTTGTTCCAGACAGACAATAAAGATAAAAGATGGGGGGGGGGGGGGGGGGTGTAGCACTATATATCAAAAACAATGTGCAAGGTTAAGAACTCAAGCTGGAGGAAACAAGAATCCCTGGCTACATATCGAGACTTGCCAAAAAAATTCTAAATCCGTACTAGTAAGACTGTGCTATAGACCACTGCGCTGATTGTAAATCACCATTGTATATTGAAATCAATCATTTACGTCCAAAAGAAGTAGTTTTCATGGGAGACTTCAACTTTCCCCATACAGACTGGGAAAAACCTATAGGAATGCCAGAATCAAAAAACAAAAGGGGTAGAAATGGTCAATAACAGATTTCTTACACTGTATGTCAGAGCATCAACAAGAAAAAAATGCTTCCTGTCTTTTCAAACAATCAAGACAGAGTGGGGCAAAAGGGTAAGAGAACTGTTAAGGAACCATGACCATAATGGTGTGCTTTGTGTAATATTTTAAAACTGTAAAGAATGAATCCAAATAAAAAATACAATTTCAACACAAGGACCAAAATAATTAAAATTGGATAACATCGATATGCAATCACTGAACAATGAATGGCAACAATTTAACTAGGTACTGCCTGGAACAAAAACAGATTTACCTAAAGGGTTAAAGAAACAAATTGTGGAAGCTGATACATTTGGCATCTTTCAAGAAATGGTTATATGAGATCTGTGGTTCAATTAACTACCAAAATGAAGGAGGTAGGTCAAATTTTCTCCTCATATTTGTAACTGTTCATGTGAGAGATATGTGTTTTTGCAGCATTCGGTTAGCTGCAGACAGCCTACTGTTCATGCTGGCATCCATCTGTCACCTCTGTGTTCTCGTAGTACTGGACAGGGGCCATACATACAAACAAGTAAACAGCCTTGGCCTTTTGAGCAACATGCACATAAGAGGTCACTAGATCTCTTATTTAGACGACTGAGACTTTGTCTAAACAGTGAAGTAGGTAAAGCTGTTTTTATTATGGACTGAACTGATTACTGTAGGAAAAAGTTTATTAAAGCAAACTGTTGTTTATAAAACAAAAGTTATTAACAGCAATCTATCTGCAAAATGCAGATTAGATAAATGAAGCACAGTAAGTGCAAAAGATGCAACAAAAGTATTTGGAGGTACTTTTTTTTACTTCTGTAGGGTCTGTGTATATGTGTTATTACATGTATATACAGTATAGTGCGAAAGGAAGTACTGCAAGTCTAAGAAGATTACAGGAAATAGTTTCTTCAGACTTCAAACTTTCCCAATTTAAGTCTGATTGTTCAGAGGGTTCAGAATAATACAACTAAATATTGAAAACATGAATCTAATGATGAACTTGAAAAAAGAAAGCAGTATTGAATACAAATATATAAAGGTTTCAGGGGATTAAGAATTCTGTATATTTTAAAGTGTTTTAAATTTTCAGTGTTTTAATGTAAATTGCAATTTTATTTTCCTTAGCTCTGTTTGATGGGTAAATAGCATCTTGCCAATTCAGATAAAAGCAACCTTTCCAAGTATTAAGAATCTAATATTCTAACCTTTTTCACATTTCATTTAAGTTCTGTAAGATTTTTATGTAAGAAATTAAAAGGGTTACAAATGTGAAAAGGTCATTCTTGCTCATATTGTTCTTAGTAGTTTATTGATCCAAACTCTGTTCCACATCTTTTCCAACAGTCTGTGACAATCAACTTTAAAATGGTGATTGGGCAGTTTATCCTATGATCCTTTGGGGAAGGAGCGCTTCTTGTTTTTGTTAATTCTCAGTGTACTTCCTTTTAATTTCCTTTTTATTTACATGGGTGTTTCTCTCTTGAACCTGAAGTATTCCCTTGGATTATCTGTCAGTAGCTTTCAGGATTTCTACATCCCTACATGAGTTACTCTTTGCAGGTTTGGTTTGGTTTGCTTTGCTTATGTTGATTATTAACTATTCCAGGTTCAAGTATGTCTCCTTAATAATTTATCCATTAAAGATTGTCATGCATGCGCGAGTGTGGTGCAGTCCATTATCTAGTTCTGCTGCTTTGGAAATACGAGTCCCAGATGTCATTCAATGAAATTCAAACCCCTGTTCATTTTATAAATTAATTGTATTAAGGTTAATTGTTCTTATTGTAGCATTCAGGCCCGTGGCAAATTCTGCATCCATGTACTTTCAGTGATGATGATCTGTATCAGATTCCAGATGTCACTAAAAATGTTTTCCACAGATATTTCATTCAATTAGCTTCTAGGGCATCACGGTAACCCGAAAAATGATCAATATAAGTGTAATAATGAGCCAATACTACAGAAGCCTAAAACCATAAGATGAAATCTTGTCTCATCCTGAAGAGATGACACCTTTCAATTTCCTTTTTTGTATTTTTTTTAGGTGACACAGCCAGTGACCGGTAGTCCAGGACAGATGACGCTGATTTCTAGGCCTTTGCTGGTTTGTGGGGGTGATGGATTCACACACTCCAACTTAGATGGCTGCATAGAATCTGCTCTGAAAGTCCTGGAGGTCTTGAAATGCAGTCTATGATGAACTACTTTTAATATTAATTTCCCAGGCCATGGGGTTCAACAATGCTTTGTGCAAAAAAACAGTAGTAATATAACAAATTCCTTATAACTTTTATCTACCTCTATCCTGGGTCCAGCTGTCCAAGAGTAGCAGAGACGTGGATATACAGTACTTGCAGTCGGTCGTTTTTTTGTCTGTCTATGATGCTTGATGGTCACTAAAGTCAGTTGGATGTAAATGGCAATAATCCCATACAAGTCCCTACACTTCACACAGATCTGAGGAAGTGGCATAAAAATTGAGAAAACTGCTTAGAATGTAGGAAAACGTCACAGAGCTACAAATCCAATTAATGTTTTTCACAGAGAAGATAATAAAAGCCCTTTGATTTAATGCTATTGGAACATTTCACACAAATTAAATATTAAATACTAATTTTAGTTTTTGTTTAGTTCTTGACAAACAACAGTTGAAATGGCCCAACATTTAAATATATTAATATTGTTTACATGTGGTTTTTAATTACTGCGCGCCTGCCAGAAAACAAGGGATGTTTGTTATACAGGTTTTCAGAATGTTTTATCAAATATTAAATGTTTCAAAAGAAGTTTTACTTTCTTTTTTACTTACATTTTCGATTTAGCACTAAAGATAAAACCAAAAAAAATGAAAAACAGAAAGGAAGTAATACAATTGGTTACAGTGTGCTTTCAAGCTGTGTTTTTTGTTCCCCACAAAGACTTTCCATAAGTAAATATAAATCTAGAACAAATAAACCACTGTTTATCCCACAGGCACTAGTACATTTGCATGTGACAAATATAACTTAATATTTCCATAACAGAAACTCCACAACTATCTCTACAATCAGTGTGGAATACATCGCTATGCAGTTCAAACACATGTCCTCAGCTACTGACATACTGCCTCAGGCTTTAAGATATTAAAACATTGATCTGTATTGGAACCTTCTTCTGATCTTGAAAAAGCGAATACTGATAAATCCCATATGATTTACAAGATTTCCTGTCTACTCCTACTTTTCAGCAGCTAGGTAATTCCATGCTTGAGAAGGTTTATTCAGATGATTGATATATACAGTACATATAAATTTAACAAACGTTTATCTGGATTTTAATCTGTGACAAAATGTTTGGCCATTACCCTTCCAGTTCGGTTATAATGACACCAGTATAAAGGATCATGTCTTGATTGCGAAGCCATTATATTATGTATTCTGAATATACTGTACAAAGTTGGCTTTTCTGTAAACGTACAAAATAAATGAAGATATGTTTGAATTCATACAGATGCCTAAAACACTATGTAAGATTTCAATAAGTTTTTAAAGACAAAATATTAAATGTTATTACTATTAAATGTGTATTCAAGTCTAATAATTTTTTTATTGTCTTCAGAAACCATCTGTTCATAATTAGGTATACCCTCTTCTTGCGTGTCAGTATTATCAACATTGTGTGCCTCTAAACCCAGGGAATGCTGAGTTCTGGGTTTTAAGAAATGGCTGATTAAATAGCAAACAGATTTCATAGAAGAATTTTTCACACATGTTCTCAAAAATAGTAAATCTTTGTTTTTTTAAAGAGAAAAGATAACACAGAAATATTTAAAGGGATTATATGTCCAATTGGGAAGCATTACGGTTCAGTGTGCTGGTTTGAAATCTAGAATGCCATTGACCACAAAACGTGTCCTCAAAGTGAGAAAATTTGAATACTGAAGACAGAAAGACCGAAGAGGCAATATTGAGTGAGACATCGTAGAGTATTATAGTTCACAGAGGTATAAAAACAAAAATCTCCTTGACACAAGTTTTATAAAGAGTGATTGTATTACTAATGGTCAGTGAACAACAACATGTACAGGTAAGTGAAAATAACTTAAAAGTATGTCTGTTTTTTTCACAGATATAATGTCGTGTATAATCTGTATCAGTGCTTTCTGAGGTCTTAATACTGTTTATTGGGTGTTTGAATGCTCACCATGATTTTCTCCATTTGCTGTCTTTGCTGTTTTTCTCAGTTTTTCAGCTATAATATTTAGTGCCCCCTAGACTTTGATGTGGAATTTCTAGCATCAGCTGACTTCAGCAGTCAATCAGGAGTGCTTTTACATAACAATTAAAAATAGACTAGTGCAGAAAACATGAAAGAAACACATAATGAACTCTTGCATGTAGAAAGTAGTGAAAGTCAGAAATGAAAAACTAAAAATGAGTCTAACAAATGACTGAAGTTTTGAAAACATTACTTTTTTTAACACTTGATGAAGCCAAGGGTATATTTTATAATTCCTATTTTTGGCATCTGTCATTCACTTTGTGCAAGGTCACATACTCTCCACCCACCATATGGATGAAAGCAGGTGTACAGTATTTCACCATGGATATGAGCCAGTTGCTGGTGTCAGAGTCTTAACCTATACAGGACCGATGAAAAATATTCAAGATGTGCTTTAAATGTGCTTTATACCTTTTAATATGCAGTTATAGACTGTTTAAAGACAATGCATGTAGCCAAAATATTTGTAAGTTAATAATAATTTGAATAGTAATTTGCAACTGTTTCCCTTCTGACAACATTGGAACACAATCCATTGCAAATGGGTCATGCTACATCAAATCAACCAAAATCCAGGAAACTCCCAGCCCACTGGAATTCGATACCGATTTATTAGCATTTTCTGTGGTGGGAGACGGAGGATAGATATGAATCCAGGTGACGTATTCAAGCTCAGTGATAAAGATGTGCTGAGATACACACTGTTTTATGTGTGAGTTTGTGGGGAGGGGGCTAGTTATGCTTGAAATCTGTCTTACTTCAGAGCAATTTTGAGGCTCTGAACATAACATTTTGAATGTACTGTATATAACTCCTTTTTACAAAGGCTGTGGTAAAGATGACCCTTCTACACAAAATCCCAGATTGCCAAAAGTTTACTTTATCTGGACAGTAATTCTGGCCTTTTTATTATAATTTTGAAATGTTTCATATACAGTTTACAAATGCAAAATACTTCATACATACTATACTGTATATACAGTCTTGAACAGAGGAGAGTTTTAGAGATTTAATTCTAGTATTCTTATACTGTCCATCTTTTCCTTATTACAATTATTTAAAATATGTTAAAACAATAGTAAGGTTTTCTAATAGTAAGGTACTGAACCTTAAGTAAAAGTTATCCTGTCTGGACTGTTGGACTGTATTCTGCCTGACAGAATTCTGAAACTTGTTTTGGAAGATTGCTTTGTTCATACATGAAAATTGTATTTTAACAGTTGTCTCTAATTATGCATTTTATACCTTAGCTACATCCTGGCAATGTAATTCTGCCTTGATTTCTGAATGCTCTTTCTTTTTTAATTAAATACATGTCAGCAATATTTATTGTTAACATGAAATAGCAATAGTAAATGCAAGGACCACTTCAGTGTTAAAAATAGAAAGCAATAGGTTGCATTATTAGAATAGGAGTGAGAAACACATCACTCTGTGAGATGCATAATTCATACCAATAACATTTCTATAGCAATAAATAGAATTCAGATGTCTTTTGCAATAGGGTTGCTCTGATGTTGCGTCAGCTGGCTGAATTCCATTATTACACTAATTATCAGCTGGTTCTCTTTGATCTTTTTTTAGTAGCTGATAAGAAAGAAATGGTTATGAGGGAACAGCCTACCCCATAATTTTTTTTGTACATTATTTTTTGAACCCAGTTCCACTGTCATGCAATAACGCATGGATCAATAGTAAATAAGGCAATTCCTTTTTTTTTATCTGCCGGTATGTAAGCAATGTAAAACGGGACTCAATTTTTTATTCTGATTTTCACTATTTAGTGTGCATAAGAGTACTTCGGCGTGTTTCTTTCATGTTTTCCACACATACCTACTGTATGTGCTGCACATGCAAGTGTTGCTCTGCATCTGACCTATTTTTGTAGGCTATTCTGATAGAACAAGCTGTTGCCATGCATTGTGGGTAACTGATTTGCGTTTTTGCAGAGTCACTGGCAGATGGCACTAGAGGCTGAGATAGCAGCCCCCCTTCAAACCCGGGCTGCTCCATCAGACCGGCGAGGCAGGAATCAGTTAGCACTCGTGTGGTTACTTGCAAGGTGGACACCTGTCAACTGGAACTTGAACAACACTAACCACACGAACTTTATACATGCTGCACTTCTGCAAAGCCAAGACAAGGAAGTGATGAATCATGCACATTTATATAACTGTGGTTGAAATAAATGTGCAGCTCTAAAAACATTTTTCTTTATTTGGCGCATCTTCTAAAAAAATCTACAAAGGTAGATTCTGAGTTAAAATTAAAGTCTCACTGTTTTCTAAATGAAACCTGCAATGATGCATTTGCAATGATAGACGCAGGTCCAGCAGGGAAATGACTCTGAAGGAAATTCTGATCTCCAGAAAGCTGACCGTCCCTGGAGACAGACGACACAGTTTATACGGCACATCGTGTAATCGGCAGGCCGCTATGGACGGAGCTGTGGGTTGGTGCCAGAAAGGGAACAGTAGCATTTGCAGATTTGCCGTCTCCAGCAGATGAACAGAACCTTCAACAGCATGCAGCTTGCACAACACAGTCAATACTAGGAGAGCCAAGCAAAACCAATATTGATTTGAAACTGGAAATTATATATCCACAGACGGTAGTGGTTTTCTCTTTGCTAAAGAGATGATCTTTATTTTACTGTTTATCTTGCCGTGTATTTGTGTTGGAAATGGATAGAAGGCAGTCAGGACCTGTACTTTTTAGCCTCATGGTTCTCTGATAATAAGTCTGGTTTTCTGAAGCTGTTTTTTGCCACAGTTGTTATGAATGTGCTATTGTTCTGCACGTAGCATTTCATAACAAGCATTATTAATTTTTGGAAACGAAGCTTAGATTTTTTGAGTGTTTTTTTTAGGTTGCTAAGGGGAGTTTAACTTGAAGATGTTTTAAAGAAATTACTGCATTGATGATAAATTGTAAAATGCAATAATGCTATTATGAATTTGTTACTGTTACTTTATCACCTATCAACTATAAAGCAAAATGACATCTTTGCCACTGTCCAGCACATACAGTAGGACGTAAGATTTCAAATCTGCTAAATCTGTATCCTTATTGTGTCTTCATCCCAGCTTGTTCTTAAATCCAACCAGAAGCTTTTATTTCAGGAGATAGCATGTTGTACATGAAGGCGAGTCAAATTGTTTTGTTCTGAGTGCCCACGAGAGGCACATGACAAGTTTGTGCTTCAACGCTTTATGAGTTGCGCAACATTAGCAATGTTGCGTGCCTTCTGCAGCTGATGAAATAGTGCCATGCCACAAAGTGGTCCTTGTAAAATAAACTTATGTTTCTACTTTTGACAGCCACATTGCTTTGCCAGTAATAGAGCCATGCTGGTTTTTGCTCTGTGTTTTCACAACACAAGATTTAAAAAAATCCACCTTACAAATAGTGACAGTGCAGCGATTTGCATTGGAACTGATCGAGCACCACAACCTAAGGAACACCCTCTGGGCTTTGTTTGTAAGATGTGCCTAATACATTTTGCTTTGGTACAGAAGTCCCATGGAGTAGTACTGACTGGCCAAATGCAGAACATGTGGAAGACTGTAAAAGAGAGGAGGCCATACAGTCTATCTAGCTTGCTTGGTTGCTAGTTGATGTAAGGATCTCATCCAGCTGCTTCTGGTAAGAAGGCAGGTTTAGCTACAACAACATTCTTATATGGTGTGTTCCAAAGTCACCACAATCCTTACTACAAAATATGAGGCGCTGCTGGCATTGTGACAGCTCTCAATAGTGTTTTGTGTTGATTTTTATGCCAATACACCTGCTTGGAAATGACTGATTACCTGCCAAGCCATGTAACAAATAGACCTGGTGATCACCTTGTCCACATTCTTTATAAACCACAGGTAATTCTCAGAGCGTGAACAGAACAGGTAGTTTTCAGTTAAAAGCTGCATTATTAAAATAATCTAATATTCATGCACACTGTAAAAGATTATTTAAATGCAGTTTTGATACTAATGTAAAATCTAGCGTTTCCACAAGACAATGCAGAAATTCACACAAAACTGTCATCTTCTCAAAGTATGAAACCACCTGTGAACTCGGGCCTCTTTGGGGTTTAAGATTTTTTTAAGGCTCTTCTTCACCCATCAAGCCCTTTCTACTGTACCTGCCCTCCAGAGATAAACACAAATTATTCCAGCTCTGTAGTAAGACTCCGAAGACTAATAAAGCTCTTGAGGCTGGAGACGATCACTGTCACTATGCTTGTTGCTAGACTTAGGGGTCAAGCCCTGGAGCAAACTGCTGTTTGAGGTAAATGAAGATGAG